ATATTGTGTGATTTTATTTTAAATCTTAATGTTAAATTATGTGAAACGGTAAATCTTTTACCATCAACCGATGTTGTTCATATTACTGTTTGAGACTTTGACAATAACTTTGCAAACTGCTTGATGCTTGTTTTTTTATTATTGTCAAAGTGTTACAAAGATTGTATAAGTGTATGTAAATTTGTAATTTTTTTTTCTTTCAAGAGAAGAGACAATTTGTTATAGTGATATTGTTATTGGTAAACGAACAGGCAATTTTTGCGTTTTTGGTTTGTTGAAGAATAAATGTATTTGAGTTTGGAATTTTTTTGGAAACATACTACCTTTACTTAGACGTGTTAGAAAGATTCACGATCCTTTAAAAAAATATTTCCAATTATTTTTACTACTGATTACAAACAATCACATTTGTGAACCCCCTAACAATAAAATAAAGTTAGGAACAGGTTTCAATATGACTTTAATAATAATATAGATAGGTAAAACCTTTTTCTATATCATTTTGACTATATCTAGTAGATCTACAATACTACATTCTTTCTCGCGATATTATGATCGGTTACGTAATATTATAATATTCCGGTTTCTGTCCCTCTGAAAGTTCAGACATCACTTGAAAAAGTCCAAACCAATTCAAAATATCACCTACGGTGCGAATCTGCAATTATTTCTACAGTCAGGAACAATAGTCATTACTTACTACTAAAAAACTCTGTTAAGTTCTCAGAAGATGGAACTAACGCCATTTTATATCCGTACTTTGCTCTATTTGAGAAAAAAAAATAAAGAAAAACTTTGATCAAGTGTTGAGATTTATTTTTTAATTTCGCAAAGTAGTACCGGACTTTATTTTAAGAACTGATGAAAGGATTTTTTTTTTTTAATTTGCTGCGTCTGAGTTGACGGAACACATCTCTAAGCCCCGGGGACGTTGAGCGCTTTACGCTTGGGAGTAATCCTCCATTAATAATCGATCTATTTGTAGGAGTAAACCTACCTTAATATTACCTGTCACTTAATGTCACGTCACGTCTCGTCACATGCAGTTGTGAAAACGACCGCCAGGTACCATTTCCGCGTTCGCGCCTTGAACTACGCGCTCATGGTCACTGTCCAGCGGCCAAAACTGGGAAGGAATTAAGATAGGAGTAGATTAGGTCACTCCGCAGGGGCTGGAGTAGTGCTTGTGAAGCAGCTTTACTCAAACAAGTAACAAAGTGTGGAACCAATTTCACAAGAGATTTTCCTGGAATCGATCCCGCCTTGGAGAAAGGCAAGCGACTTCTTCCTGAGCCAACGAGCCAGGATTTCTTTAATAAAAAATCTCGATCTTCAGTGTTGTAGGAAGACGAATAATTTTTGAACTTATGTAATTTTTTTAAATTTATACAGTGCAATAATGCGACCTTTTTAAGCGGCTTTGTCTACATTTTGAGAAAAAATTAATAACAAAATTTGAAATCAATTTTAAAAAATGTTGCTACTTCCTGTAAAGTAACCCCCAACATCTAAATAGTGAGTTTTTGCACGGATTAGACCTCATTCACTATGCAAACGTAATTCTAACATAGTCGCCTAACCTAGAAATGACTTATTAAGCGAGACCATTCACAATGCCTTGACTTAACCGTGGACGTAAGTCCGTTAACTTAAAGAGTTCACAAGCACCAAGCTTTTACGTTAAGTTTACGTAGGATTCTACTGACGACTAATCAGAGAGCAACATGAAAGAAACAAACATGGATTGTGATAAGGTAGTTTGTAGTTATTTTATTACTTTCATGAACTGAACTAGTTTGAAAACTGTTTTGACGCTAGTAGTGAATTCAAAGTAAGAATTTGGGCCATCTTTCTTGTGAAAACAGGGTCCAGGAACGTATAAAAAAATATAAAGACAATTTTGAGCAATAGTTTGAAGGCGACAAAATTGCCAATTTTACAACATCCTGCAGTGATATTAAGAAATGTGTAAACCATTTACTGTTGTAGTGAAGAAAGACTATAGTTCACAAAAATCGATGATGCCTCGTTTAATGACATAACTACAATGACAGTAGGTTTCAAAATTTCAAATTCCTTGGAAGTTCAGGTGTTCCATAAAAGTGTGTGCTTGCCAAGAGAACAATTTAAATTTATTTTAGAATCGGAGGGACAGAAAGAATTGAAATGTGACAAGTGGTGTACGTTTGACACATTAGTCAGTCGTCTTAGAAGTTCAACGTCAAAGCAATCGAAAAGTCCGATATCGATTATCAATATCAATAACGGGTGAAATCGAGAAATTGTTTCTGCACTGTTGAGTCGAAAACGTATAAAGCGCAATTGCAGTAGTTCGAAATTGTGGCAACAGTGTGTGCTGTTACAGTGAAATTGTAATCAACTGTTCTGTAATTGTAACTGTAACTGTTCTTATGTATATAACTATTGAAAATAAATGAAATTAGTATTAAAATTGGTACCCAGATCTCGCATACATAAGTATTAATACCAGTACTCTTATATAAAATATGTAAAACAGAAATGAAGTACATATGTGGATTTAAAAATGCAATGTATTGTACAGCAAAATGAAGATGATCAGAATGAATGTGAGAAAAACAAAATTTGTCTTCCCTAATTAATTTTCGTAACCAACATATTCGTTATTTCGGTAATATTGTAGAATCATGTAATATTTTCTTCACACAAATAATGTGTAAACTTGATTGACATACTGTAATGATACGTTGGCAAACTACACACAATGTATGACAAGACCCACTTTCATTGAATACAGGATTCAAAATCACATTGCACTCATGGTAGCCTTTAAAATTATAACGATTTAGTGATCTACGATTAACAATTGATTACAATTAATTTAGAATATCCGTAGGGAAGTAAATTGCAGAAGCCCTCTTCAGTATTCAGATTTAATGATAAATTAATGGTAGAGGGGTGGTTCACAGTTCATGAGTATGGCTAAAGTCAAATAAACCCAACTTCGTAAATTTGTAAGCAAGTGAAGAAATGCAATTAACTGTACTAAAAACGTCTTCCTATGAATACCGATTTATTTGAACCACTAACTAGAAATGATGCAACTTATTTTTTTTTTAAATTTTATTTCATTTTTAATGAAATTTCTTCTGCAATAGTAATTCACTTTGACTTAACCAATGAAGTCATTACGAATTTCACAGACTTCCTATGATATCCTGCCTATTTCTTGTGAAGTCTTTACTACGTATCCAATGAACTACAACTGACGATGATTAGGGCAATTGAAACTATGAGTTTAGAAATGGCACTCACATAGCACTAATCAAACTGTAATCAAATTAGTTGACAGACACGAAAAGACAGCGATAATAACGCCATGAAAACAGTTAACAACACACTCTACCGCCACAGTCGGGAACAAATTCCATATAACATGGCCGAGTGATCGATTACCATGCGATATAAGTCGCCCGGAGTCTGCTGGTAAATCTGACGAAATAGCGGGACCTGACAGGCTCCGCTAACACTTCGAGTTCGATTTCGAGTTAGTGCATCCGCACAGACTCAAAAATGCAGTCGATTACTTCCCGCAAAGGCTGGCACGAACTCCCTATTTCCTAATACCGATTCTATTAGAATCGAAAGAAAGTAATCGATACAAAAATCGAATTTGTAGAATTGGAACGTCATTACGCGCCGCCACTAAGCCAATGGCGGGAAATGTTGTCTCGTATTGTGCGTGTTCTGTCAATTGTACCGAATCAGGTATACACAAAGTAGTGACAGTTTTTGTTTAAAAAATGTAAGTTAATTTGTTAAGTGCTGCATTTTTCAGAATAACATGGCAACATTTTCCCGACGAAGGGGCAAAACGGAGGAAGTGTCAGGCAAGACAGAAGAAAATGAAAAAGTCCTCAAAAGTGCATCTAAGAGTTCTCCTCAAAAGCGAAAGCACGTCGTGATAACTTACGATTCAGAGTCAGAGGACCCTAATGATGCAGAAGACGCCAAAATTGCTAAATGGGAACCAAAACATTGGCGTGAAGTGGTTGATAATATACGAGAGATGAGAAAAAAGAAGGATGCTCCAGTGGATGACATGGGATGTGATCAATGTCATGATAAAGATGCCCCTCCAGAGGTTGGTTGATTGAGATTACCGTATTGAGTTATATTGTAATTTGTAATTGTTTTAATTTATTGAAAAATAAATTGTGTGTGTTTTAGGTTCAGCGTTATCAGTCATTAATTTCTTTAATGTTATCGAGCCAAACAAAAGATCAGATCACATTTGCAGCTATGCAGAAGTTACGTGAACATGGCTTGTCAATTGATAAAATTATGGAAACAAAAGAAAGCAAAATAGGAGAACTAATATATCCAGTGAGCTTTTGGAAGGTAATAGCTTCATATTCGTAATTGATTTTTCCCCACTTCACTCAAGCTTCACCACTATTTTAGAGCACAATGTGTTTTTGGTACATAATGTGTTCCTCAAGTAAAAAGTGTGTAAACATCCTTCATTCTGGAAATTTCAAAATTAAAGTTGCATTTTTAAGGCTAAATACTTTTTCAGCCAAAAGTTGTGTTGCATTGAACACATTTAGCCATTTGT